GCACATTGACTTACACACTCAGATGGAGCCATGCACACACGTCAACGAACACGCACACATGGACTAACACACACAGAGCGACTGATACGCACACAAATGGACTGACATGCAAACACTTAGACGTAGACACACACATTGGGCGTTGTCCGTTCGAAAAAAACCGACACACACATGGACTTAAACACATGCATGGACGTACACGCACACACATATCGACTCAAACACGCACACATCGACTCACACTCACACATGGACGTGCACAGCAATCCCCGATGATGGCACAGCTATCAGCATCGCAGTACAATGTATGAGTAAATAGCGTGACGTGAGCAATCGAAATAGAAATGCATAGAAGAAAAAAGTTGAAATGAGTGTATATTAAAGAGCAGCAGTACGCACACGTAAGTTGAGAAGCAGGCTACAGTCGAGATTATAGACTGCCAGTACGCAGACTCAATAACAAGAATTGCTACAATCGCCATGAAAGGCTGGCAGTACACTGAGTGAGGTAAAGAAGCAAGCAACAGATAATAATAATAGTTCAATTTGTAACGCGCGCAAATTTGCAGATATAGTGGCCGCAACTCAGAGGCTCAGAGCCAAGCTCAGAGTCGCTCAAAAGCATGATTGTAGAGGTGAGTTTTTAAGTCTCTCTTGAAGGAGGCGATTGAGGTGATGCTGCGAATGTGCAGAGGGATATTATTCCAGACTGTTGGGGCTGCCACCGAGAAGCGGCGCATAGACATGACCATCCTGGATCTTGGTAACAAAAGGAGGTAGTGAGTCGCGCTGCGCAGGCATCTGCCGTGTGCTGAGCTGCAAGTTGTCAATAATGAAGAAAGGTACGGCGGGCAGGCGGATATGAAGGCATTGTGGCAGAGGCAGGCGGTCTTGAATGTGACCCTACTGGCGATGGGTAGCCAGTTGAGAGCACGGAGATAATAGACTGGCATACACTGATAATGGTGAAAATGAAAATTAGCAGTGTAGAGAATAGGTTGGCAGTGCACTGACGTTAAGTAATCAGCAGGCAGCAGGCGACATCACAGACTGCCAAAATCCTGATTAAACACAAGATTCAGGTACGATTCAACACAGTACATAAAATCCGTGATCTGGTCCCGTCTGTAAAAGACGTGGTTCCAGACATACAGTACCCTGGCGTCTACAAACTAAGTTGCCTCTGTGGTAGCAGTTACATTGGAGAAACCAAACGACATGTCTCGGACCGCATCCGCGAACATAAAGCAGACCTGAAACACGGTAGGACAAACACCTCAGCCGTGGCAGATCACTGTTACAATTCAGTGGGCTCACATGACATTGACTTCTCCAAGACAGAGGTTCTCTGCAAGCCATCTGGCTACCATGAGAGATTCGTTCATGAGGCGATCCACATATACAAACACAGAGACAATTTCAACCGAGAAGATGGATTCTGGCTCAGCAATCATTGGAAGGACGTAATAAACCATTTCGGATTTTAACTGATTGTTGTTCACGTTTACGGTGACTTTCAGACCGCAGTCCACTCACTGGCATTAAATGTGTATCTTGTGTTCTCCACAAGGAATGCATTATTTGCTCCGCTGCGGGTCTCCTGCCACCGTTCTCCCATTCACATGTTTCATTGCTTCTACATACTATTAACATACCCTCCCTTTGTTAATGCTACCCCCCTCCCTTTGGTACTGCTGATCCTGCATAATGCATGGGCATAATATGACTTTGAACCCCCCCCCCCGCCCACCTCCTACGCATTTCCCATAAATATGCTAAATTCCTCTTGATATGCACATTCTTTTGTTAAGGCGCTCTTCTTCCACCTCCAACTCAGCTTATATATAAGCTCCTAGCTTGGCAGTGTCTCATTCTTCACCTGAAGACGGCTGCTTGCGTTGTAGCCGAAACGTCGTGAGAATTATTTTATTATGTTTTATTTTTATTATTTTATTACTTCCCTTCTACGTGACTTTACCGAAAAAACCAAGAAGATGGCAGTAGACTGTCGCAGCGTGATAAAAGCGCAGGGAAAAAAGGAAAATTTAGCAACCTAAAAATAAAGAGTTTTGTGCACACAAACATTATTATTGTAATATGTGCCAACCTTTTTCATAATAGTAAACAATGAACCTAAGTTGTTATCTGCACACAAACATAATTATTGTAATATCTGCCAACTTATTTGTTTCATAATAGTAAGCAATGAACGTGAGTTGTTATCTGCACAAAAACATTATAGTAAGATTTGCCAACTGATTAGTTTCATAATAGTAAACAATGAACCAGAGTAGTTATGTGCACACAAAGATAATTATTGTAATATCTGGCAACGTATTTGTTTCATAATAGTAAGCAATGAAGGTGAGTTTTTATCTACACACAAACTTTATTATTGTAATGTTTGTCAACAAATGTGTTTACTAATATTAAACAATGGACTTGAGTTGTTAGCGTAAGAATCAAGGAAATTTGTACTTACCATAGCCATGTTGAGGCCTTGTGCCATGCGTAGCCCGTCCTGGCCTACATTGGCGAGGCGGCGGAGTTGGCACGTTGCCAGGCTAGGGGCTGGGCCGCTACCTCCCCACTCAGCATCCCCCGCCCGTGCAAGAATAATGCTATGTAAGCACTAAAATATTATTATCTACGGAATCTGTAGTATAAACTGAACGCATCGTGTTGGGGGGGGGGGGCGAAGAGGACATGACACTGTGAAGAAATATCCACAGCGTCATGTGTGTACGTGTTGGCTGTAAAACGCGTAAAAGGAAATGTCCCCGTGAGTTCGAGCGAAGGCGCATCACTTGGCAGGGTCCGCCACCCCCACGCAATTGGTGTCAGTTGGTAGGGTCGATGTCCAGCAGTAAGTAAATCAATAAATAAAGATTGGCACAAATGTGTTAATTAAACTACTTTAAAGTTTACGGATAGAAAATCGGAATAGCCTATTCCCACCGCGGGGATTAGGGCGCCGTTTGAGAGCCAAATCCCTCGCAAGCGCGAGCGTGCAGAGACTTTTATATATAAGAAAGATGATGAAGAAGAGTTTAGCGAAAGTGTACAGCACAAAATGATAGCAATTTCAAATGCGCATGGTTTCTACTGGTGTTTTATTAAGCATTCTTGAGATAATAAATTACAAGATTTGTTAAAATATATTCCCTTGTAAAAAGCTATCGGATGTTGACCAAGTTATTGAGGCACGTTATCTTAGCTAGATTTATATAACGCCTTTTCCAACACGCTGTACAGCAATTATAACATTGTAAGTAAGATGATAATGATTGTAAATGAATAGGCTTATTGTAAGTGCTGTTGTTTTAATGTCAGTCACACGGGAGGGATTGTTACGGAGGGGTTGGGATAGTCCTGGTCCGAGCTGGGGGGCGATAGAAAACTTGAGGGGGGGGGGGGGAGTAATGATGCATTGTGTTGGGAAGACAAAGAGGGTCAGGAGCAGTGGTGGTTCGTGATATTTCCATTAGGCGGGGCTGTTGTAAGTGAAAATGTGGTGTTCTAATCGGTTGATCAGGACCCAGTTGCTTTCAAGTTTTCAAGTTTCATTTATTAGGTGTAGCCCTGTGAGCCATGCGGCTCTTGAGTCGGGTGCAACCGCAACAAACAAAATATGAACAGAGAACATCTTAAAGCGACGACGCGCAACAGAAACATCCTGGAAAAAACAGCAAATCTTCCAGAAAAAAAAACACTATTACAACGCTGTGTGCAAAAATCCCAATATGATGCAAGTCAAACAATAACAACCATAAGACATAATCATAGGGTTTTTCCCCTTTTTCCTGGCAACAAAACTGAAACCTTTTTACAAGGATTCATGTCTGCATTAACCACAATACTTGCAGTCAAAATGCAAACAAAAAACACACTATGATAATATATGCATTGCAGACATTAATCCTTGTAAAAAGGTTTAAGTTTTGTTGCCAAAAAAAAAAAAGGGAAAACCCCTATTATTATATTTTGGTACTGGCAAAGGAGGTCTAATGATGAACCATAAGACAATTTAGATTAAAGTTATCAGGCCAACTCCGCACTTCTGCAAGAAACATGGCTTAACCATATGTTTTCGAAATCACCAAAATAAAGCTATAAATACAATGTAACAACAGTAATCATAGGAACTTTGATTCAAATTTAACAATAAACGATATACATAACATGTACGACCAAACTTGCAGTCATATCTGGCAGCATGACACTCCCAGTGTATGATGTGTGAATGAGTCAGTGTATTGAGTGAATGGGTCAGTGGTTGTGTGAGTGTATGATCTGCGAGTCAGTGTATGATGTGTGAGTGAGTCAGTGTATGATGTGCGAGTGTATCACGGCATCCTCCCCGCCATCGTGGTCTCCTCCACGCCATCGCGGCCTCCTCCACGCGCGCGCGCACCACGTAGCACGTCCACCCAATCCAATGCTTGACATTCAAGTTCTACTGCATTTGAATATTTAGAAGTGACACCACAGAGTTCCTTGCTAATTCTTTGTTTGCTTGCACCTGCTGCCATTGCTGTTGTTTTCTCTTAGACGTGAAGACCGTGAGCTGCTATATTTGCACGGTGCAACCTCGCGTTGTGACATCGTCTCATTGCAACCACGGGCGCCTTTTTCAACGCCCTGAATGGGTCTCAAACGGCGTGGCTAAAATGCGAAGCTGATCGCCACGATGAAGGGGGATATCTCTCACTCTGACGCCATCACAGCTGCCCCGAGACCTCCTCGAGGCACAAATCAGACCGCGGCGTTGCAAGCAGCGGTTTCTAATACGAACAACTTAAAATTTAATTTTCGTTACGCAATTCGCGTTGAAAGAATTGTGACATTTTATTATAAAAATAAATTCTCATCTCCAGTTACTTGGTTGGGACGGTGCCCCAAACGCCCCCTAGTGGCCAGGAGCCAGGTGGTTGGAAGAGGCCCAACCGCTCCCCATTGGTGAAATACTATAATTTATGCACAGCTAGAATTAAATAGAGTATGTATACTATTTCTTTAACTTCAATAACCTTCGCGTAGACAGATGAATAATAATGAAAGGATCACTAATTTAAAGATGTAATATACGAATATTTAATATTATGAAAGTAAAATTTAATTAAAAGGTGGTCACCAAGTAAAGGCCCCATAGGATAAATAGAAAGTGTGTTCATAGAAGTACCTACGAGTGGTGGCCCTAAGCTTTACTCTGGTTTCTCTTCAGAGCGAATACCGTATTTTTCTGCATATAGCCCGTGGGTATATACCACTGCATTTGCTGTCAGAATTGGATGCGAAAATGGTGACGGTCTTGTTGTACAATGAATCGCTACAGCATTGCCATCTGTTGTCAAACCGTAAACGCGTCCAGGACTCACTGGGCATCTGGACTGGTGCTCGACAGTGGCGGCTGAGGCTCAGAGCTGCTGTCCTCTGAGACGACAGAGGACGATGGAGAATGGCAGAAGAAAGTTGACAAGAGAGTGTCATTCGAGAGGACAGGCTGGCAGAAAGCAAAGAGGACGAGGAGAGCACCGAGTGCCTCATCATGGTCTATTTCCGGGAAATTCCCCCAATTGTCTGACTCTTCAACAGAAAACTTGGCTTTATCCGAAGAAGAGATAACAGCTAAGCTAAGGTCTTTCCCGAAATCTGTGAATGCCGAGAGTTTGTTGGACCTTGTTGATGAAAATTGCTATTCATTGTTGGATGACTTTTTTGCTGAGCCGGACTAAACACCCTGAGCCATGGCGCTCTCTGTTGTATCGGTCAACGTGCGAGGAATCTGGGGAGCAGCTGAACGTAAAGCAACGGTTCATTATTTGCGGACTCTAAAGGAGAGACATTTATTTTTTGCAGGAATGTCACCTGCCTTATTCCCTCGACCAGGCAAAACTGGCTGAATCCTGGGATGGACAATGTTTTTGGTCTGGGAGCAATGTTAGCATTGCAGACTGCATTATGTCGATGCCATATATAGAGGAACTGCAGTACGTCTAATTAATGTATATGCTCCTACGCAGTCTTCGGAGTGAGTGGAGCTGTGGGGAAATATATCTGCCCTGCTGGTCACACAGAGACATGTTGTTCTGGGTGGAGATTTTAACTGCCCACTCAGCTTATCAGACGTTCTGCCTGCCACTGGGAGTTGGAGGATAGATCCTTCCTTTAGAAAGCTCAGTGCTTTAGTCAAGAATTTAGATTTGACTGATACTTTTAGGTGTTTACACCCAGCCCAGAAAGCTAATAAACAAACCTGATTCCAGAAGTTGCCTCCGCGACCTTTATTACAAATTTATAACATTTTTGACATGCGTTTTTCTGGATTTTTTTTTGTTATTCTGTCTCTCACTGTACAAATAAACCTACCATTAAAATTATGGACTGATCATTTCTTTGTCAGTGGGCAAACGTACAAAATCAGCAGGGGATCAAATACTTTTTTCCCTCACTGTATGCCACCTTCAGATGTTTACCGCCTAACCTGCAGGCTGCTTTGGCGGGTGGTGGAGGTGGATAGGGTAAGAATGCGCAGTGAGGCAGCAAAAAAGAAATGGCAGTGGCCTCCGCTTCCATGCCGCACATGTTGATACAGGCAGCACTTATAAAAAATAGCCATAGTACTGGGAATTGAGGAGTGAGACTCGGGTCGGCAATTGCGGATTCTTGTTTGCTATATATCTGATAGACCAGGAAAGAGTGTTGTGGTTGTCAGTACTTTCCATGTGTTGTGGAACTGTGGGCGATTCTGTATTGGTGGCAATGTCCATCTCGTGGGTTGTTGTTATTTTTAAACTGTTGACTGTATATAACTGAAATAAAAGCTTTTAAATACCTTTACTAAAAATTTCCGTGGAGAGGCGGGTACCCTGGCCGTCAGGCCAGTGGGTGCTTTGCCAATAGATATGGAGAACTGCCAAGCTGTGGAGATTATCCGGGATGAGCAAGCCACGTCGACTGCTGCGGAGGTGAAAGCTGCCACAGCTCAAGGGTCAGTCTCGACTGAGGGGAGGCAGCTGCTGGGGAGGCTGGACGTGCCTGCTGGCCTCGACAGGAGTGCTACGGACATTGGGGAGTCTGCTGGCCAGGGGGCACAGACTGCTAAGGTGAATGCAGAACCTGCATCGGCGGAACAGCACCAGGAACGTGCAGGGTGTCGGCGCGGTGGGCAGGGAGCAGGCTTCACACCGGGTCGTGCCAGACGCCACAACTGTGTCCGGGTTGCCTTCAAGGAGGAGGTGACGGAAGAGGTGACTATGGACCGCTCGATTTTTGTGCGAACGTACGGTTATGGGAATGTTGCAATTTGAGCCCATGGACCTATTTTGTTTGATAGCTTTGCCGGGCGGCAGAGCCTTTGATGTCAGTTTTAAGACGAGCAATTCACTACAACGCTTTCTGACACGTTTTGAGGAAAAAGCAGGCGAGAGGCCCCTGTCTCTGCTCAAGCTGCATTTACTGTCAGAATTGGACGCGAAAATGGTGACGGTCTTTTTGTAAAATTAATCGCTACCGGATCATGATGTGGAGGTCTGGCTGCGACAGCATTGCCATCTGTTGTCAAACTGCAAACGCGTCCAGGACTCACTGGGCATCTGGACTGGTGCTAGACAGTGGCGGGTGAGGCTAAGAGCTGCCGTTGGTGCCCTGCAATACATTCCGAGCACCCTCAACATTGGTGGTAGTAAAGGCTTCGTTGTCTACGAAGGCCAACCCAAGCTCTGCAGAAGGTGCGGTGGACGGGGTCATCTAGCAGCGGCATGTGAAGCACGAGTGTGCTACCGCTGCAAGTCTCTGGATCATGCAGTGGATAATTGCCAAGCCCCAGCGCAATGCAACATTTGTGGAAGCAAAAACCATTTATACCGGAACTGCCCTGAATCATATGTAAATATGGTCCGGGCGTGTAAAAACCAGGCCGCTGATGGAGGGTGCAGAGAGAAAGCTGAACCTTTGTTGGAGCACACTCCACATAATTTGGCTACTGACGATGTTGATGGAGCGACAGTCATCCAGAAAACGCCACTATTCGAGCAGGAGAAAAGAGAGGAGCTGTGGATGGGGGAGCATCTCCAAAGTCAGCAGGAAGCTCCAAGGCCAATGTGATGGAGGAGGCAGTCTCTGAGCCAACTGTGGCTGACTGGGCAGTGGAAGTTGAGACAGCAGAGGACGATGGAGAACGGCAGAAGAAAGTTGACAAGAGAGTGTCATTCGTGAGGACAGGCTGGCAGAAAGCAAATAGGAAGAGGAGAACACCGAGTGCTTTCTTCATCATGGTCTATTTCCGGGAAATTCCCCCAATTGTCTGACTCTTCAACAGAAAACTTGGCTTTATCCGAAGAAGAGATAACAGCTAAGCTGAGTCAAGAGATTGGGTCTTTCCCGAAATCTGGGAATGCCGAGTTTGTTGGATCTTGTTGATGAAAATTGCTATTCATTGATGGAAGACTTTTCTGCTGAGCCGGACTAAACACCCTTAGCTATGGCACTCTCTGTTGCATCGGTCAACATGCGGGGAATCTAGGGAGCAGCTAAACGTAAAGCAACGGTTAATTATTTGCGGACTCTAAATAGAGACATTTATTTATTTCAGGAATGTCACCTGCCTTATTCCCTCGACCAGGCAAAACTGACTGAATCCTGGGATGGACAATGTTTTTGGTCTGGGAGCAATGCTAACAGATGCTTGGGTTGCCATCCTCATAAGAAGCCGAAGTGTGGGAGTACAGAAGGCCCAGGAAGTTGTTACTGGCCGACTGCATTATGTTGATGCCATATATAGACGAACTGTAGTACGTCTAATTAATGTATATGCTCCTACGCAGTGTTCGGAGTGAGTGGAGCTGTGGGGAAATATATCTGCCCTGCTGGTCACACAGAGACATGTTGTTCTGGGTGGAGATTTCAACTGCCCACTCAGCTTATCAGACGTTCTGCCTGCCACTGGGAGTCGGAGGATAGATCCTTCTTCTAGACAGCTCAGTGCTTTAGTCAAGGATTTTGATTTGACTGATCGCCATTTCCGATCATTGCTACAACGCTGTGGGCTCTCATGAAATTGTCTTTTCCGAAACCAAGGTGCTCTGCAAACCTCCTGGCTACCATCAAAGGTTTGTTCACGAAGCCATACAAATTTACAAACACAGACATAATTTCAACCGTGATGATGGGTACAAACTGAGTAATCATTGGAAAGATGTTATTAACCATGCAAAAAAGATTTAACTACACATATTTGGACCATCTTATTTGACAGACTATTCTTTAGTTACTGTACAGTTTACTGATAGACAGCCAGTTTTGTTTTATCATGTTTAGCTTCTTTTTTCACACGCTGGTTTCCTGCTTTAAGTTTTACCCACCAAGCAACATAGCAGGAGGCTGTTTCTTCCTGACCTGCTTTTTTGCTTTTACCATCTACATGGCAGGGGCTCGGTCCCATTAGCAGCAGTTGCACTTTAACAACTCTGGCACCCCCCCCTCTCAGCCAGTCTACATAACAAAGGCTCAGTCCTTTGTTATGTAGACTAGCTGTAGTTTCAGCCGCACCAACCTTACCATAATAATAAAAAGGGGGCCTGTCCTGGCTCCTCCCCCCTCAACCAGTATATATACGGGGTCGGATCTCTTGGAATTTCTCATTTACTTGATACAGCAAGCGTGATGTGACGGTTCCACCTGAAGACGGAAGCTTGTGTTGCCTCCGAAACGTCGTGATTTTTATTTTATTTTACTTTTATTAATTTAAATTTTTCACCTACGTGACTTTACCGAATAAACCCAAGAATATGAGTCCTTGCAGTCACGAAAGCTTCAAATCTAGAAATACTTTTAGGTGTTTGCACCCAGCACTTCCTGGTTTCACCTGGGTCAGTAGCTCAGGATCTTTGCATTCGAGAATTGATTTTCTTTTTGTTTCTGCTAAGATTACAGCAGAGCATGTGGAGACTGTGCCAGTCTCTTTTTCGGATAACAAATTGGTTATGGCGAGGATTCAAATCCCGGGTGGAGTAATGTTAGGGAAAGGGATCTGGAAAATTAACACGAGTTTCCTGGAAGATGAGAAGCTGGCGCGGGCCTTCATTCAACATTATGAAGAATGGAGGAGCCTACAGTGTTATTTCGGCACCATGGCTGAATGGTGGGAGATGGTTAAAAGTCGGACTAGGGGTTTCTATCAGGCACACAGCAAAAGGATGAGTGTTGGGAATGCGATGAAGGGCTTAAATGACAAGCTGGAGAATGCATACCGGTTGCTGGAATTAGGCTTTCCTATGGTTGACGAAATAAGGGATTTAAAAGACAAGATTTCCTTGTCACTTGAAAATCAGGCAGGCCAGTTCGTTTTTAGGGCACGAGTTAGGGCAGTGGAAGAGGGAGAAAAGTGTACGCGTTTCTTTTTTAGAAAGTGCAGGAAACCCAACAGTGTCATCCATGAGCTCGATAGCCCTAGCCTTGGTAGGCAGACACAGACGGAAGGTGTTGTTGAGGTTGCACGAGAGTATTATGCAGACCTCTATAGCCATAAAATATCGGAGGTGGACACCCGGGATTTTTTCTTGGGGAAGTTAAACAACAGGTCGAGGCCTCGGATGAGATGAATGGGCAAATACAAATGGACCAGCCAAATTTAACGGCAAGTTAGTGGAAAAGCACAATACAGTGCTTTTCCACTATGTTCCGAGTCAAACTGACACCAAACTGTGATACACTGGATTCACAAGACATCTGTATCTTGCTCGGAGCCAAGCAAGGCCAGGGATAAGTTTAATAACACGTCGGTTGCGTGCAACGTCAATCGGTACACTGTGAGGACACGGCATCACCGAAGTGGCGAGATGTTAGCTACCTCGCCTGGTATGCAGGAGTACATGGGTTTGATCCAGACCCTGACGTTTGTTTAATTAGAGTTTGCATGTTCTCCCCACAGTCGCGTGTATTTTTCTCCAGGTCCTCTGGTTTTTCTCTCCACATTTAGAATCAACATGCGTTTAAAGCATTTGGCTGCTATAAATGTCCACATGATAAAGCCACTTCGTTGAGCAATCAGTTGTGGCTAGGTCGCTTCTTAAAAAGAGTGAAATAGCTCAGTGGGGCCTTACCTGGACAAAAAAAGAAAGTTTAGTTTTAGTATCTACACACGTCTCGGCTTCTTCCATTGCCGCAAACGTCGGCAGCGCAAAAACAACCTGGCGCCTTTTGACCCAACCGGCGATGGCATGGCCACGGCACGGCCCGGTTGCGTAGTGGAAAAGAGAGGGAGGAGAAATTTCCCCAGCCCCCGGCTTGAAGGGCGTTACACCTCCTTCTTCTCGCCGTGCTTCTTCATGTGTATCTTCATGTTGGTCTTGTAGGGAAACGTCTTCCCGCAGAGCTCGCACGCGTACGGCCTCGCGCCGGTGTGCGCTTGCTCGTGCTCCCTCACGTACGTGAGCCGTGTGAACGCCTTGCCGCACTTGCTGCACGCGTAGGGCTTCTCCTTGGTGTGCGTGCGCTGGTGGCTCCTCAGGTAGTCCAAGTGCGAGAACTGCCTCTCGCACACAGTGCACACGAATGGCTTCACCTCCTCGTGCGTTTTGCGGTGCCTGTTGAGCGACGACGTGCTGGAGAAGTTCTTTCCGCAAGCGATGCATGGGAATGCCTTCTCACCTGTGTGCGACGTCAGGTGCCGCTTCAAGCAAGACAGCCGGGGGAACTCCTTCCAGCAAACCCCGCACACTTGCAGCCTCACTTCCTTTTCCTCGTCCTCCTCATCTGGGAAACACATTCCACCGCGACCACAGACGATGTCTCTCGGCGATTGTGGTCGTACATAATTTGCACAGTCAATGAAGTGTGTTGTACAGTTCGGAGACTGAGACGAGATGTGAGAGGTAGGATAGTGCGTGGCAGAGAGTCTTGTGATTTGAGAGGGGAAAATGTGTGGAAGGAAGTAGAGTAGAGATGAGACAGTGTGTGGAGAGTAGAATGAACGAGAAGGGAGAGGCAGGGGCGAGCCCATGAATACGATTTTGATCTTGAAACGGGATCCGATTGCAGTGGGAGCCATTGGAGGAAGTATGTATGATACGTAGCTTTAGCGATTTCATTTAGGGTTACTACGATACGATACATACATTGAATGCATGTTTAAAAATTTCATAGCAGATAGGATTGTTTCCTGCAAAAACTTTATATTAAATTTCAGTTCATATAGGTAGGCTCAGAATTTACCTTGTTTTTTTACTTTACATTTTACTGTGCAATAATACAGTATTGTAATTAATAAATACATACATACAGTATATATACAGTACGGTACTGTAAATTGCTCCGTTTTGCTAAATTATCACCATTCTTTAAGACTCCTGGGTAGGCTAGGCCATCTTCGACTTACGATATTTTTGAATTACGATGGGGTCGTCGTAACGCATCTCCATCGTAAGTAGAGGACTACCTGTAATGGAATTTTGACGCTGCTTTGATCGCACACGTGGGGAGAGAGAAGAATGCCGCCGCTACTCACCATCGCTACTGTCGCTGCTCTCCTCTGCGTCGCCCTCATTGACCATGGGTGCGCGATGACTCCAGCCACTCCCCTCCTCCTCCGCATTGCCGTTCTCCACAGCAGCTCCATCTCCCGGGCAGTCGTCCTCCACCTCTAAGCAGCCGCAACAGCAACAACCGTGGCTTGGACTCTCACCCTCGGGATTGGGAAGAACGTGATTGGTTGATAAAATGATAAAATGTATTCTCAACTAAAGAGTGAAGACTTTGTCTTTCCGACTTCAGGCAGTCCCCGGGTTACGGAAGGGTTAGGTTCCCGAGAAATAATCGCAACCCGAATTTACCATATGTCAGAACATTTCCCCCCCAAAATCAACAATTAAATCGCATATCCAGAAATGGTTGTGCCTCCCCTACCGTTTTCTCTCAGTACTGTATCGTATTGCTGTACATACGCTCTGCACTTCCTATGATTCTTTCATTTGATCGAACATCTACCCTAACACTACCCATAATTAAACTAATGGAACATATATTGAACTGTGTCCAATTGTTTATGAATACCGTCTTACGCCTCGCTCTGCTGGATTCATCTGCAACCTCACCGCGTCGCACTGTTTGCGCTTACGTAACTAATGCAAACATTTACGCATACAGTATTGCATTTTTTTACATGATTTTTGGGAGCATTTCCGTAAGTTGGGTCTTCCGCAACCTGGGGATTTTCCCGTATATTCATGTTGTCCGATTCGTCGAGTAATCGAACCGACTAGTAGTGCAATCGATCATCTAGATAGCCGCATGATTGTAACAGTGACGTCGCCAGTAAGAGGCGAGGGTGTAGAGGTGAGTGCTCGCCTACCAACGCAGGAGAGAGCGACGTTTCTGGGTTCCTCCTGCCAGCCCTCGCCACCACCGCATCCCTCGTCCCCTCCCTCGAGCTCTTCCCCAACTCCAGGTCCCTCTTTTCCCACACATCTCCATGGTGACCGATGCTGCTGTGCTGGAGCTCCACTGCTAACCTCACCCATGTCTGCCGTGCAGGGAAAACAATGGTATGAGAACTGTGATCTCGATTATGGAAACAAGTGAGAAGTCTAACGTCATACTTTGTAAATATAGATTGAAAACTCATCTCTTCAGAACGACTTTGTGTTTAGATTGTTGTCCTTCCCCCGCACCTCTGATTAATCCATGTGTATACATGATTATTTATTATTTTGAGTTGCGTCAACCTTTAAAGATGCTACAACATCGTTTGTAAGCGTAGGGCATTGTGTACCGGTGAAACATCCAAACTGAAAACTTCATCACTACCTGCAGGTAAATCACAACATTCTTTCACTTTATGAACAATTAGGATGAAGGCAACAAAAGGCCTAATGAACTCCAAGACAGTTTGGGAATTGGCATCTGTGTTTTTCGATGGCGGGGATTAATTTTTACCAAGATCTGATGGTAGCAGTATAATGTTGGATCTACTTCAACAAAATTTTTTTTTTTACCAAGTAAGGCCCACTGAGCTACGTAGCTCTTTTGCAGAAGCAACCTGGCCACCAATCACAGCTCAACGAAGTGGCTTACCATGTGGAAATCTATCGCAGCCAAATACTTTAAATGCATGTTTCTAAATATGGAGGGAATAACCAGAGGACCTGGAGAAAAAACCCACGACCGTGGGGAAAATATACAAACTCAAAACATACAGCAGGCGTCCGGGTCAGGATCGAAACCATGACATCCGGCATACCAGGCAAGCTAGGTAACACCTCACGCCACCACAGTATACTGCATAGTTTTTATTGACCTAGGCCAAGGGTCGGCAACCTACGGCTCCGGAGCCGCATGCGGCTCTTTACGGGCTGCTTCTTGACGATGAGTACGTATGTACTCAGATGCATTGCGGCTCTTGAAATACTGAATTTTGTACCGAATTGGAAAGAAATGGCTCTTCTTGTTATTTTGGTTGCCGACCCCTGACCTAGGCCGTGGTCTACTGTGGAGAACGTGACAGACTCAAAAATGGGCCTCTTGCAACAACCTAAGGCCGTACTCCTGAGCAGCTGTGGGCAAATACTCCGGTGAGCGAAAAACGGACCCTCATCGCTGTTTTCCTCCATCTTCACCTCCGCGTGGGCAGCATCGGCTCCTCCGCCTCTCCGCGAATCCGACATCTCTGCACGCGACAACGCCAAACGAGAATAAGATATCGGTCGCTTAAACCTCGGCTCATCCGATAGCAGCCCAGAGGATTTCCACCAGTTGGGACGTCTGAGAAACAAGAAACAAGCACAAGGAAGAATGTCCACGAATCGGGAAAACCTCACGGTCATTACCACCTAATAACACAATTTGCATGTACAGCCCTTTTATAATTTAACTTATGATTCGTAGGGGATATTTTGATCATACTTATGCATACTAAAATAAACTTTTTATTTTAATAAACTTTTTATTTTAGTATGCATAAACTTTTTATAAACTTTTTATTTTACCAGGTAAGGCCCACTGAGCTATATAGCTCTTTTTCAGAAGCGACCTGGCCACAAATGACAGCTCAACGAAGTGGCTTATCGTGTGGACATTTCTAGCAGCCATATACTCTAAACATGCGATTTTAAATGTGGAAGGAAAAACCGGAGACACGCAAACTCCACATATACAGGCGTCAGTGTCACGATCGAACCCACGAGCTCCTGTATACCAGGCGAGGCAGTTAACATCTCTGACGCTGATTGGTCAAACCCTGAGCGATTAATCACAGAGGGCTCACACCAAGCACAATAACCCCCCCCCCACCCCCATTGTGGATTACCACTGGATCAATCCCAAACGGATAAAACCTTGATGTATCAACTCCTAATAGATGATATCCCAAACTTACCAATAATCCCTGGCTGCATCAGACAACCGAGGAATTACTGATTAATCAATCCACAATAAGTCATACAATGAACTGCTCAAAGATCAATCTCTGATGGATCACACTCATAGCTCAGGCTCTTGATGGCCCACATTGATGATGGCCCACATTGATGATGGCTCTCCGATGGCTCTCTCTGTGATGTCTCTCTCTCTCTGATGTCTCTCTCTCTCTCTCTGATGATGTCTCTCTCTCTCTGATGATGGGCTCTCCGATGGCTCTCTCTGTGATGATGGCTCTTTCTCTGATGGCTCTCCGATGGCTCTCTCTGTGATGATGGCTCTCTCTCTGATGATGGCTCTCTCTGATGATGGCTCTCTCTCTCTGATGATGGCTATCCGATGGCTCTCTCTGTGATGATGGCTCTCTCTCTGATGGCTCTCCGATGGCTCTCTCTGTGATGATGGCTCTCTCTCTGATGATGGCTCTCTCTGATGATGGCTCTCTCTCTGATGATGGCTATCCGATGGCTCTCTCTGTGATGATGGCTCTTTCTCTGATGGCTCTCCGATGGCTCTCTCTGTGATGATGGCTCTCTCTCTGATGATGGCTCTCTCTGATGATGGCTATCCGATGGCTCTCTCTGTGATGATGGCTCTCTCTCTGATGGCTCACATCTCTCACGGCTCACATCTCTCACGGCTCACATCTCTCACGGCTCACATCTCTCACGGCTCACATCTCTCACGGCTCACATCTCTCACGGCTCACTCCCCTGATGGTGGCTCACCCGCCGATGGCTCACAGCTCTCAACACTCCTGACAAGTTGAAAACCACGGTGGCGAACGGTGGAGGGCTCGAGGTGTCGACCTTCACGCAGCAGTCGACAGAGCCTGGCCCCAGTCGCTCTCTCACCTGGAGGCAGCCGCTGGTGTTGGGGGGGGGGGACGGCGGCGAGTTCCCTGTCCACGGCTCGACGGCGTTCGGAGACGAAATGGGCCGCGAATCACCACCGCCGCCACCGCCGCCTCTCACGGCCACCATCAGTGGCGATTACCGCAGACTCGACAACATCGGCGCCGGGGAAACAAAGACGGCCGGACGCGGCGATGTCCAGGGCAGCGCCGGCACCGCCGTCACCACGTCGCGCGCCATTGCCGACCGTCAATAGGCGCTCGCTAACTGCACTTTGCCTCGGCGGCCGTGTGGTGGTGGTGGTGGGGAGGCTACACGGGGGACCTTTGTCTGTGTGGTGGTGGTGGTGGGGGGGTGCGTTCGCGAACTAACAATTCACGCGTGCGTCAAACTGTTTTACGGGGGTGCGTTCGACAATTGCAAACGCTACGCCGAGTGTTTGTGGCAATCCCGTGTGGGGGGTGGGGTTGCGTTCGTGAGCCACACAACGCCAGCGAGAGAAATGTTGACGGGGGAGGGGGATGGGGGGGGGTGAGAGAGAAGGGGGCGTTCGTGAACTGCAACTGTGATGTGGTTGGATAGAGGGCCTCTTCGTTGTGTGATATATTGGAGGCTTTCGCTACCAATGTTATTCATAAGTCAAGGGTTTTTTTTGGGTTAGATCGCGGAAATGTGTCGTTAACCCACCACTGATTAGTAAACAAGACGTGCCAATTAGTTACTACTTTGTAAGGTTTATGGGGGCTTACTCTCCAACGCGACCGGTGTGCTGAAGTGGTTTAGGTGGCAAGCCTTACGAATTGTCTGTGTCGGGTGGTGGTCGGTTAACGACACATATTTACGCAATCTAATGGGCCCCACGCCCAAAATTGTGTTGGGCAGTGGTCACCTGCGTGACGAGTGCTGAACCAGCGGTGGCAATTCCACGTTCCTGTGGCAGGGGTCAGTCTAGTAATGGGTTGACTGCTCACGAAGTGGCACTCATGTTAAATTTTGATTTTAAACTTTCGTGACTGCAGGAATTCATATTCTTTGGTTCTTTCGGTAAAGTCACGTGGATGGAAAACAAAATAAACAAAAACTCACGACGTTTCGATCGCAACGCAAGCGGTCGTCATCAGGCTTATGGTTATGTGGAAACCCTCCCCGTAGAGGCGGTAATATTTAGATTTTAATCCAAAATCTAAACGTCGTGAGCTTTTGGTTGTTTTATTTTGTTGTTTTCTATCTACGTGACTTTACCGAAGAACCAAAGAATAGTGGCACTCATGTTATCAAGACCAGAGCGATGGTGTTCTGCTTGCAGACTCGCCTCCGCCGTGGCTGAAATGTCTGGATGTGTTGTCTCTGCGTGGCTTTTTTTGTTACGCAGTTTTGAAAAGATCAGATTTCCTTTTGCTTCATTGTTGCACTTTATTTATTTTGTAGTGAACAGGTCGCCCACAGCATCGTGTGTGGCCTGGGGTGTGCATTCCACTTCCAACGTTTCAGTGACCCAGATCCCTCATGCAAATGAGGCTATCCTGCTCGCATTGTTTTTTCTTGGGATTTATTTTTCTCAAAACTTTGTTTTTTAGAGTTTTCCTAGATTGGTATTTTGTACCTTTTATTTGCACCCCAGGTTTCTGAACAATAGAGGACGTTGTCTCAACGAGCTCTCATCTGGTCATAAAGTTCATGGCTAAGATGATTAAACCTACAAAAGTATGAACCGTAAAAAATAAATCTAGATTTGAAGTTTTCGTGACTGCAGGGATCTATACTCTTTGGTTCTTTCGGGTAAAGTCACGTAGGTATAAAATAAATTAAATCACGACGTTTCGATTGCAACACAAGCAATCATCATCAGGTGCTGTGGTTTTCCCACCTGATGATTTAATTTATTTTATTTTATACCTACGTGACTTTACCGAAAGAACCAAAGAGTATGAACCGTTAAGTTACAACAGTCCAACCCATGGACCTTCTAGACCAACATACATCATAATTTTTTTATGGAAAAAAACCAAAGCGTTATTTCGGCGACAGGTCTCTACAAATCTTGAATGACTGCAGGAATTCATGTCAATAAAAACACACAAAGAGCACAGAGACGAGGCAGTTTACTTATTTTCATTTAATTCCGAGCTTGCGTCAAAACGACCTTCTTACACGCCGAAGGGCGCGACTGCTTACGTCGTAATTTATTCGTCAGAGCAGGAAACGTGTTCCACACGATCAAACGACGAGACAAATGTATGAGCGCGACAGTACTAAGTCGGAAAGCCATTTGATCAACCCTGTGAGAGTGATGGACCGTGTTCAGGTTGTACGTGCACAACACATCAGTAGACTTTAGCACATTTTAATACAGGTTTCCCTCGCTTTACGTGGGTTAAATTTGTCCAAGTTCGCATGCGTGCGTGCGATGAGCCTCTTTAGACCACAAGTTCGCTCTATGCTCTTTGAATTCACTCATGCGGCTACGCGATTGGACGTGTGAGACGCGACTCGACCAGCAGCCGTCTCGTGCTGTTTCGATCTGTGTGCCCTTTTTTTGGAACTCATCTACTTCATAAAGCGAGGTAAACCTGTATGTGGTTCTTTGTACTGAGAAACCTTATCCATACGTCAACTGTTTCTCTGAATTATCTGTTTAACCACCGCACGATTGTATAGGACAGCACATTAGATTGAAAACAAATTTTCGAGATTGAAAATTAATTTCTTCCGAACTTATTTTTGTCTTTAGTTTACTGTCCTTCCCCCGCATCTCCGATTAGCATGGTTGGCTACAGACAGTGCTGAAGAACTTCAACATACGTATTTGTGGAGACTATAAATATGAAATAACATTCCGAATGAAGGAAATCAACAAACATAATTCCCCTTACGTCTGCTAATCACCAAACATGATTTTGGTATCAACTAAAAAATACCTTTTAAAACTCACAAATACTGTCAGGCACCTAACATGATGCAAAAACCCAGTATTGAGCCACTACTGCTTACTATCAAGAGTGATATTTGCAGTCTGATGCTAGGTTCACACTTAAGTGCGATCATTTGTCCAAATTGCTTTTGAACTAGCACAACCAAATCAACTGTGATTTGATTTGTCCACATCTGAGCCCAAAAATAGGAAATTAAACGGCGTATTCAGGATTGTAACATAGTTCCCAAATGTGCATATGAAAAATGTTACGACATTTCACTGAGCAGATAACTCCAAAGTCGAGTGTCTCAACTGTAACCGGTCTGCAACTATTGGCAGACGTCACCATGTAAGGCATTCAGTTGCAAGCAACCAAGTTACAATGGGTAACCAATGGTGTTTTGACTACTTTCAAGCACCGCAAGACGAGCTACTATTCACAGAGCCCTGGCTTCAATGTGAATAAGCGATTTTTAATGTCTCTTTTACAACGCAAGTCTCATACGTTGATAGCAATACGCCCTTTTGGCCTGCTTATAATTGTTGGGACTAAATTATGTTAGCAAACACCTATTTGGGCCAGCAAATTGCACGATGGGGTGGTTTGACCAACAATTATTTCCTTTGGACTCATGGCACCAGACAATCATGCTGTCAACCAAGAGGAGAGACCCATTAGGTAAAATTGCTGAGAGTGCTAAGAAGTTTAACTTTGACAGCTGGGATTGTAGTGTAAGTACAATGACACCACTCCCCACAAATCACACCATGTTTTTACAGTGTCAAGCCAAATAAAATCAATAAAATACCTTAAATCATATCCAGAAATTGTGCATTTCATCGCACGGTTCTGCTGGATATATCGCACCACTCGTAAAAAAGACAGCTCCTCCAGAAACACTCATACAACTTTAGACGCGTAAACCCGCACGCAAACCAGGCTACTTTGAGTAACATGTGCTCCGGTAATGTTCCCATGGCATTGTGGGTACTTCTCATGATGCAGCGCAGCCAAATAATCAAACTCCTGCGCTTGGGACCGTCAGCAGCGTAAAGACGCAAGCGAAACAACCAAACGTAACGTTACGGAGCGGAATAACATCTTAGGAAGGTGGCGGCATTGATCAGGTCTAGCGGTCACTGCCGCAACGTTGAGGGTGCGGCCGGAGGAGGGACGGCGTAGCCCAGTACCCTCTGACGTGCGTGCTGCTTGTGCTTCTTCAGCGCCTGGTCCCTGAGCGCCATAAGCAGGTAGACCTCGCTGTGGTCCGTGTCGGCCTGCTCCTGCGCGTACTCGATGGCGCGGCTCAGCACGCGCACCGCTTCCTTGTGAGTGATCCGGCTCACGGGCACCGTCTCCTCCTCCTGCTCGCTGTTGTCGCCGTCGCTGGCGTCGCCGCCGCCATCGGCGCCGCGTCCGCCTGCGCCGCTACCGAGCGGCGCGCGCCCCGGGTCGGCGGCGTCCACCTCCAACCACTCGGCGACGTCGCTCTCCCCGACGCGGTCGCAGCCCGGCACGGCGCGTAACACCTGCACAAAGCTGCGCACACTCAGTCCCTCCTCGTCTTCCTGCACCCCGCGTGTTCCCTCCCCGTGCGCTCCCCCCGCCGCCTCTCCCCTGGCAGCAAGGTCGGGGATACCGGGCTCAGCCACCCCCCACGCACGCGGCCACAGCTTCCTCCAGCAGCGCTGCAGCGTCCTCTCGTGCACAGCGTCCCAGGCGGTGGCGACAGTGTACAGGGCGTGCTTCACGGTGAAGTCTTTCCAGTAGGACTGCAGGTCGGCATCCACGCCCAAGGCAATCCCGCGCGCCACTTCACGGCGGTACAGCGCTTTCAGGTGGCCTACGGCGCCCTGCTCCAGGGGCTTTAGCGCTGGCGCCAAGTTCGGGGGGAGATAGAAGACGGTGATGTCCCCGCAGCACAGCGAGCCGTCGTCGGGGTGTGCGGGTGAGTTGTCAAGCAGCAGCACGGCCTTGGGCGGTAGCCCCAGCGCTTCCAGGTTCTGCGTCACCTCCGGCACGAACCTTTCGCGGAACCAGCGGCGGAAGATGTCGGTGGTGACCCACGCACGCCTGTGGTTGTAGTAGTGCACGGGTAGCAGGCTCACGTCCAGGTTCCTGAACACCCTCGGGTGGGCAGCCCTGCCCACGACGGCGAGGGGCAGCCGGTGTGCACCTGCTGCGCTGGCGCACAGGAGCAGCGCGATGCGATCCCTGCCGACCCGGCAGTTCCCGGCGGCGGTGCGCGCGGGGAGGCTCTTCCAGTAGAGCCCCGTCTCCGTGGCGGCGTACACCTGCTGTGGGCTTAACCCCTGCTCCTCCAGGAATTTCATGAAGCTCTCCCGCGCCGCCAGGGCCTCCGCCGCATCGTCCGACACCTTCTCCACCACCACCTGGGGGTACGGCGCAGGGAAGGCGCCGCCCATGCGGACGCGTGCTAGCGGGTTGGCCAAGTCCTCCTTGGCGTGCGCCAGGGTGCTCACGAAGCTCTCCCGCCCCAGGTCCATGCCCGACACGCCCAGCTCGCCGATGCAGTAGCGCCGCTTGAAGTTACGGAGCCAGCCGGCGCTTGCGGCGAATGGCTCGGTGAGGCCCAGGTGTTCGTGAAAGTGCCGCGCCTGCTCGATGAGCATGGAGCTGGTGATGGGGAGGCCCATGGCACGGTGCTGCCGGAACCACTTGTACACGGCCTCCTCGAGCTGCGGGAAGCGCGACTCGCGGATCACTTTCATGTACGAGAGCCCCGTGTCGACATCCAGCACCTTGTTGAGCCGCCACAGCTTCTCCTTGGCCTTCTTGATGTCGTAGATGGTGCGGTGGCCCAAGTTGAATTCCAACGCGAGCTGCTTGGCTGTCTCGCCCTTCTCCAGACGCCGTAGGATGCGCAATTTCGTCTCCAGGGACAGCACGATCCTCTTCCGGAGCAGCGGTGACGCGCCGGGTGTCAGGTACGCTTGCTTGCGCTTGCCAGAATTCATCTCTGCTTGGAGGACAGAGCCATGTGTCAAAGGGCGCTGCAACATTGCCTGCTGCACCCGTCTCGCAGCCACACGCGCGGGGATTACACTGAGAAGCTGGACAGTTGGGAGCCAAAAATGTTGATTGATATGGAGTGGTATCGGGCAACGAATAATTACGTGCACTCCTAAAGTACAGAGACTGAATGCTGGAACCCAGAAAATGCTTTAATCAGTTATATAGTTCAGTGAACTGCATCTCCAATGACTCCACAAAAGAATAAACGTCAACATTTTATGCAATTTGGCACTAAGATGGAAGATGCACAACCCATTAAACAAACATCTCTTGTAGACAGGTAAATAAGCGATCTGTCTTGATGCGGGGCCCGGGGTAAATCACAGTGTGGGCCCCCCCCAACGCCTTCACATCTGCAACCACTGTGACATCGAAGCGCGGGGGGCCTCCCAAAGTGCGGGGCCCAGGGTGGCCGCCCCAAGTCGCCGTTATCCCGAGGGGACAGCCTCCATGTCTCAGAATGTCAAGTTTAGAGATTCACTGGATCAGTGCAGAGAGACGTATTAGACACTTACGCGAGTGATTCTGCAGTCACGTCACTCACCAACTGTGATGGCTCTTCTTAATAGAGCCTCAAGACTTTATTTAGTTATTAACAAAGCTTCAACCTAACTCTGATTAGCTCGATTGGCTACCTATTTTCACCGTGGCACAGATGGGAAGCCACATGTCTGAGGATCCCTTCGAGTGACCTCCCTACCCCATACACCAGGGGGCACCCTTTCCCACATTGTCACCTGCGGGGCTATGTTCGTCCTCCAACAGTCGAACATTCACACAGGAACATCACGTGATGGGCATGGGCGGAGTTTGCGGGGGAGAGGAGGGACGTTGCACGCTCGTGCCCCCCCCTCACCCCCAAACTGGACACCTTTATAAATTTCGTTTCAGTAGTTTACAATAAAGATTTTTTAAAATATTAATGATATGCACCCGCGATTCCTAAAGTGAGGGAAAAGCGATCCCCTGCCTACCCCAACCCTCCCCCAAAATATGGAAGTAAAACTCCACCGATGGTGATGGGCATTTAATTATTGACAACCGGGCCGAGACTGGAAACTCACTGCGCTTAACCACATGTGATAGAATCCCGGATTAGAATTCGGTGCTCCTGGCCTAGGAGCCACCTCTCAATTTGCCCAAGTTGTTAAAATGTCACGCTCATCGAGAGAAATTATGAATTCATAAATGCCTCCAACCAGATGACAGCGTATTGATGTGCATCACCTCTTTTTTTATCAAGGAAGACCAGTTTATCCGAGGTTACATAATTACAGCTGTATATTATTTAGTTGTGAGGGGCCGTCCATAAATGACGTCACGCGATTTTGGACGATTTTTTACCCCGCCCCATCTCGTCACACGGCGTCACATATTCGTTTCCCTTAGGCAGTTGCATCGACGTGTGTAACCTACGTGAGTGAATCTCAACAGCCACCCGCAATTCGGGACGGTTCTCAAGATCAGCGAGTTACCAATGGCTGCACAAAATCCTCCACGTGAAATATGGTTGGTTGATGGCTAACTGCACCTACATTTTGGTCGGGTTATCACATTACTTGGCATACGAGAAAATGTGGTTCGAAGTGGTGAGCCGGGATACGAAGGACCGTGGTGGAGTGGTTTGCAGACAACGAACCATGTCATGTAATGGGACACCTATTGGGCAAAAGAGACCCGCTGCAGCTGCTGCTGCCGATGATGACGATACGAATAATGACAACTCTGATATTGACGATGACACTGCTGCTGGCTGATGACAGTGCTTATCAAGCACCAACGCTGGGCACCTCGATGGCGAGATGTTAACGACCTCATCTGGTATACAAGTCGTGGGTTCGATCCTATGCTTGTATATTTGGAGTTTGCAAGTTCTCCCCGTGGTCGCGTGCATTTTTCTCCAGGTCCTGAGGTTTTTTCCTCCACATTTAGAAACACGCGTTTAGAGTATTTGGCTGCCATACATTTCCACGCAATAAGCCACTTTGTTGGACTATCATTTGTGGCCAGGTCGCTTCTGAAAAAGAGCTAGAGTATTCTCTCGATTATATCCATGCTAATGACAGGGAGGACGGCCGAGGATAATTTAAACTCCGGGATAATCTAAAATTATCCATTTTTCGCGGATCTCTAAGAGAAAAATCACTAATATAGGTATAAATTATGGTTAAGTTAAGAAAATGTAGTTTGTTAATTAATATTACAGAAATAGTAGTACTGACGATTTTTATTGTTACTCTTTAGATTCATAACAAATACTAACGATCGACCGATTGATTCTCGTGCTCAGTGATAACACTTCCCAGCTCCCACGCAAAAGACTCGGCTCGCTAAGTGAACAGCAGAGCCACGCCAATCAAAATCAAACTCCGCCCACTGTTGTAATGATATGCAACTACTGTACTGAAGAGACGATCACGTGGAATTCAGATTAACGGGAGCATATATTTGTTAGGTTTAAACAAGGGACTTGTAATAAACATTTCTACGAATAACAACGTATAACCGTTTTTCGATTATTAATTTGTGATTTAGGGAAAATCCACGAGTCATTAGTTTGTCAAAATCTCAGGTGCGCAATTAATCCGCAAACCGAATAAACTGCACAAGGATAATCGAGAGTTTACTGTATATAGCTCAGTGGGCCTCACCTGGTAGTAACAAAAAAAAAAACTTTTATAGCTGTTTGAGGTCCGTGAGCGATACTCACCATCACCACTCGAGTCTTCCAGTGTTACCTCCACTTCTCCCCACGACTGCGATGGCGTTTCGCTCGTCATGTCGCCCGCCGTCTCTCCTGCTGTCTCTCCCGCAATTCCTCCCGCCATCTCACCATAGTCGGCATATTCGCCTTCCTGTCCTGCGGGCGGGTATACGTACAGATGGTGGCAGTTAAAAATCAAGGCTGCAGCGCTAAAATAACTGTCACTGTCTGTCCATGCAATAATAAAATAACAATTTAGCCCATCAGCCTATGGTTCTTCTACATGAGGGTTCTTCAACTATATTTCTAGTGAGCCGCATTCACACATTCAGCATGTGCTGGCGGGCAGCGTGACATCATGTCACGTGAACAGACGTTATGACATCACATGAGGCACGTCTAACTTGTACATCTTCATCTCCAGGTCTCATCCATCTCTTGTTTAGTCTGTTCTCCTATAACATGGTAGTTGCGTTCCTGAAGAACACCGCGTTATGGAAAAGCCGCGTTATAATAAAAAAATATATATAATATAGGGTAAAGCACAGTCCGTGATAACACGTGAGATGCGTACGCAGGCTGAACAAAGATCGAGGCACGTGGGTAGCATCTAGAAGCATCCAGCCGCAACCCGCATTGTGACGCTACGCCGAGGCAGCTGTACAACCTCTTATTCCTATTCGCGCGACATCGTTCCAGTCACTCGATCGTGTTATATTGTGTTATATCCAATTCGCATCCGCGTTATAAGAAAAAATTGCGTTCCCTAATACATTCATCGCGTTATATCCAATTCACGTTATTAAAGCAACACACGGCGTTATAGGAGAAACGACTATTTCTCTTTTATTTCACGAATCTTTACATCTCGTCTCAGCTCTCTCATCTCTCTTTTCCTTATCCTTCCATTTCAATAATCTGTTTAGATGTATATCTCTTGGATCTCGG